CAACAAAAACATATTGAGTGAGTGTTTCCCAGCACTAGGCATTCGTTCCTGTGAAGTGAAGTAAGACTGAAGGAATGGCCTCAGAGAACCTGGATTTGAATTCTAGCCCTGCTACATACTTACCTATGTGATTTTCTGGACCTCAGTTTTCTCATTTGAAAAATGAATGGGTTGGACTTAATAACCTTCCAGCACTGGAGCTAGAAGCCTATAAAGGTTAAGTTTCTTAATGAATTTTTCTTTTCCTATTTACATGGCACCTTGTTAAATTCTGTTTGAAATCTCAGGCAGCACCTGAGTTTTAAATACGGGATTTGTGAATCCTGGACAGTTTCCTATCTAGCATGCCCAGAAGATTATTAGAATCCAATAAACCACTGTCACGCCACTGGCAACTGCAACTTTATCAAACTCTGAGGGGAAAGGGTATATTCATATCAACATGGACTTGGGAAAGCTAATCAGAAAAGAAGAAAAGCTGTGGAAGTATAAGACTAAAAAGATTTCAGGCAAATGAAAAATTTGATCGCAAGACATGCATATAATGTGAACCAAGTAATAGCTGATTGTCTTTTGTGGCTTCTAGATAGTTGGCTTATCACTTTATAGTCATTCCACACAAAGTGTCCTGGTCAATTTTCTTTTTCTTATCCCTGAGCTCTGGCTTGCCACTATGCACTCCAGGTAATAAAGAGAAGGAAAAAGTTAGGGACAGGAGTTAAGCTAAACTCAGGAATTAGATTGACTTAGACCCTATTAGGGACTTAATAGGGACTGAGGCAAGGTGAAGTAAGCAGAACCAGGAGAACTATACCTAACAACTAAAACAATGCAAATGGAAAGAATATGATCGTTTTTAATAATCTTATGCCACCTAGAACAAAATTTTAAAAGAGCTTCCATATAGAATAAAGAGTTTTGCTGACAAATTCAGATTAGATTAGTGCTTGATTGAGACAAGATTTGTAAGTCCATGACCATGGAGTAGAATTAAAGCAGTGTACAATATTTATAAAGCCTGTCCTTACAATTCTGCAGCTAGACATAGCACAGATTTTGACAGATGGCTCTCACAGGAATCTCTCCATGACTTTATTTAATTGTGGCCATATGAATTTGTACTACCAGAATGCTGGGAAAGAAATATAAGGTTTTGTTATTGGTGGGGTTTTTTTTAAAGAAACTCAAAAAACATTTCTAGATTTGAAATGGTGTGTCTCGGTGTTCTGCACCTATGTTTCATAATAATAGCTAGTGTTTTTATGGTGCTTTAAAGTTTGCGAAGCACTTTACATGTTATCTAATTGATTCACACAATAACCTTGTAAAGGAGGTGTTAGTATTCGCATTTTATAGATGAGGAAACTGAGGTTGAGAGAAGTTAAGCAACTTGCTCAGGGTCACCCAGAGCTAGGAAGTCACTGAGACAGAATTTGAACTCAGGCCTTCCTGACTCTGAATCCCATCACTCTATCCACTGCTCCTACTAGCTTCCTAAAAAAGAAGAGGGGCCACTATTTTATCATGGAAGGATTGTAATCAATTCAAACAGAATTATAGCCCCCATTTTATAAAGGAGGAAGCTGAGGCTCAAAAAGGTGGAATGACTTAAAGTAACACAGTTGGTAACAGTTAAAACCAGGATTTAAACGGAAGTCCCTTGATTCCCACTCTGGAGGCTCAAAAAATGACTCTAATAAGTTTTATTTCTCTTTCTGGTGTTACACTTTGGTCATCTATTCCATCTTTCTATATTTTCTTTTTTTTGTCTTGCCTTTGGTCCAGTAGTTACACTGCTGAGTAGATGGATTAAGTAAGAAGTAATATATTCACCAAAAAAGCAAAGAAACTAAAGGGGAAATAAAGTCAAAGGTAGCTACAAGTGTGAACCTGACTTCCTGGAAGGCATGACTTATCACCGTCACCTGTTTTTATCATCATCAATCATCACCACCACCACCACCACCATATATTATTGTTGTCGTTGTTGTTATTTTTGCAAGTACATTCTGCAGTTTATCCTACAGCTGTGGTAAGATCATTGATCTCAACAGAGGATGGGAGGAAAGTATATGGGATGAAAAGTAGAAAACAAATTTCTCCTCCTATCATATTGGCAAAGCCTAGTTTCTGGGACTGTGGTACTTACTATATTTAACATCTTTGAGTACTATGGTTCTTGATTTATTATGCAATTAGAATTTTCTATTGAACATCATTTTGAAAAGTACCTCTACAAGTACTTATAAAAAAGTATGTATTTGGACCAAAAAAATTTTTGTTTGAATGATGTTAGAAATTATAAGTTATTGGGAAAGTATTATTCCATTTATGAAATCATATTTATAGGCAACTTTCCCAGGCATCCCACTATTACATAAAGCAAGGCATAACTACGTTGGATAAAATTGCTGCTTTTAATACAGCTTGTTTCAACGTGTACTCTCTAATCTATTTCCTTTTCTGAGTTCTAATCCAGAAGAAGCCAGACTTTTTAATGAAACGCTTTCCTTACAAAACCATCTGTTATATTCTTTGCCTAGTGTAATTCAGACTAATTTAGCCACAGAATACTTTAGCATTTGAAATATATTAGCAGAATCCATAAATGAAAAGCTATGAGGTCAAGACCACATAACTCTGAGTGTATTAGCCAGAGTTCCAACTCAGACAATAGACTGCTGTCTTGGTAAGAGTAAACCACAAAGTTAAGGTTGGTGCTGAGGTGGCTGCTCTTCTTCAGTTTTTCCATTATAATTTTGGAGAGATCAAGAGTTTGTGTGTGTGTATGTGTGTGTGTGTGTGTGTGTGTGTGTGTGTATGTGATGTGACTATGTTAGGAGGAAGAGGGTGGACTAAGTTTTCTGCCTCTGCCTACACCTCTTTGAGGATGCCAGATCCTGTCAACAAGTCTTCCTCCCTAACCCATCCCAGCCTGGAAGAAGGAAGGGGGGTCTGTGGCTTGACACAGCAATTCCATCCCCATCAACTGTGGCTTTATCAGCTGATCTGAGAAAGTTATACAGAGGTGGAGTTTAAAAAAAATGAACAAAATGATATTTTATCAAGGAATCTTTATTTACACCATTGCAAAACAGTTTAGGAAACTGTTTTAGCTTCCTATTTTAAAAACTTAAAACCAAGAAGAAATGTGAGGGTTGACCTTTTTTGGAGCAAATTAACCCTGCTCCAAATGTTAATCACAGTGCTATGTTTTTTTTTCTATTCTAAGTCTTGTTCCTATTGCAACACCGTACACACCATCTTATGACCTTATATGTCTCTACGTCTGTTCCCTCATTTTTAAATGGGGTTAAATTAGGGGACCTTAAGCCCTTCAGTTCTATGACAATGCAGCAATTCTGATCCAGTCTCCCTACTCATCCAAGGCCATACAATTCAAACTGTTTAAATACATAACCTCTTATATATATTTGTTTAATGGAAAAGTGTCCAAGACACAGTAAGTTCATATATATTTGTGAAATTTCAATATTGCTTTCATTGGCTAAGCCTGAGAAAGTTCAAGGAAAATCCATCTCTTCCAACTATGCTTGTGTTGCTGCGCCCCAAAATAACAAAGTATTTCACACAAAGTGTCCTGGTCAATTTTCTTTTTCTTATACCTGAGCTCTGGCTTGCACCCTGCACTCCAGGTAATAAAGAGAAGGAAAAAGTTAGGGACAGGAGTTAGGCTAAACTCAGGAATTAGACTGAGAAAGGTAAACTTCTCAAGGAAAATGTCAAGGTGGAGGGGACTTGAAATGTCTATTTTTCAGAAATCCCGAGTAAGGGCGAGATCACAGAATTCTTCTTTAGAAAACTTTTTTACTATAAAGTCTCTGCTGAAATCTTTTTAAACACTTTGAAGTAGTATAAATACATTCAAGCTTTAACAAATAGACTGTGTAAATATCATCACAGAGCAGAAAGTGCCTAAAAATGTTATTTAGGGAGTCAGTTACTATTGAGTACCCATTGTACCAGGCTCCCTAACTACGCAACCGTTAATAACAACAGAAGTACAACAAAGCTGGTATTCCAAAACCAGGCCTTTCTAAGTTGTTTCAATGCAATCCAATCTAACCATCATTTACCACATATACTTTATCACGGTACTAGACAACGGAGATACAAAGATAAAGCACTTGGGTGCCCCCCTTTCTCCCCAAAAGGTGTCCCCAGAAAAGCAACAGCCTGTTCAAACTGCTCTGTGGGTACACCCCCTCAAAACTATAGCTTAGGAGCCCCTAACCACAAATAATTGTTGAATTTGATTAGATTCAAATTGCAAAGGAGGTCGGAGGTGTCTCCCTCATTGCAATGTGGGCTCCTTGAGGGAAGGGTCTGTGTTTTCACCTTTCTTAGTCTCCCCAAGGAGACGAAGTGTAATTGTTTGGCGGTTGATTGATTGGTTGATCTGAGTTCAGGACCTTGCTTTGCTACTTCCTCTCTTATGGAACTTGGGGTCTGGAACTCGTTTCCCCATTTGGAAAAGATGGGGATTGGATTAGATCGAGCTTAGGGTCCCTCCCTCCGAGCTCTAAGAGTCTATATGATCCTATGAAGCCCCTCCAACCTAGTTAGTGTAAGAGGCCTAAAGAGCCCGGGCTTTGGAGCCCGAAGAGCAGTTCTTCGGGCCCCGCTCTGCTGAGTCCTTGTGGAGCGGGACAGCTCGCTTCAAAATCACCTCCCCTCTCCAGGCCTCGGTTTCCTCCTCTGTAAAAGGACAAAGCAAACTCTAAATCCTGCGGTCTAGTGTGGCCATCCAATACTCGCCAGTCAGGGGCCTGCCTTCTGCAGCCGGGCTCTTTTCGAACTTTCAACCCTCTCCCAATTTGGCTTTAATCCGCCGCAAAGTGCAGAAGCGCTCAGCGGGGAGGGGGCGGGCGGGAGGGGAGGGGGGTGGATGTGGCGAGGGGCGGGGCGTGTGTGGCGAGGGGCGGGGCTAGAGCAAGGCTGGGAAGGGGAGGTTCCGAAGGGAGCCGGTTGCCGGGGTAACCAAAAGTGTAGTCGCGCGCACCCAGCGGAGCCACCTCACAGCTCGGGGTCCAGATCCAGGGCCTGGGGTGGAAGCCGAACAGCTACTCCCCAGGGCAGGCCCAAGGGGTTGCTCCCAAAACTGTGAGGAACTGGCAGGTCAAGGCAGCAGCAGAGGCGAGGTGAGAGCAGGAGGAGGGGCCGGGCGAGCGGGGCGGGGCAGCCTCCTCCAGACCGCCTTCTCGCCTCCAGGCCGCTGGGGTCGGGGGACGGGGAGTTCTCACGGTCTCTGCGCAGGCGCTTGCGGGGTGGGGGTAGAGCGCGACCACTGAGCGGCTAGAGGTGCTGGGCGCTGGGGTTTGCGGTGTGGTCAGCCCCCGGGAGAGGAAGCACCCTCGGCCAGGGAAGGTCTTGGGAGCCCAGAGAGGTCGCGCTGGGCCGCGCAGTTTAGTCATAACCCCCCGAAAAGAACCTTGAAGATGGGTCTACCACGTATTGTCCAGGGGCTGACTCGCCCACGCTTGTGTGCTTCTCCTGGGGTCCAGGGTTTCCCTAGTTCACTTAAATGAAGGAATGTTATTAATTAGGGATATCAATATCCCTAGTTATTTAAGTTATACCAAGTGTTGGGAACTAGAAGGCACATGAGAGGTCACTGAGGCTAACCCATTCATTTTACAGATGAAGAAACTGAGGCCCAGAGATGTGAACTGACTTGGTAGAAGCCAAATGTATGATAAGGAGGACCTAATCCGTTGCCCCTTTTCATTCTGTCACCCCTACAAACTGTGCATCTTTGTATATTCTGCAAGACGATACAAATCAGCAAAGAGCCATGGACACAGGGGTTTCTAGACTTGGGGTTACTAGAGTGAGGAAGACCTGAGTTCTTTCATCTCCACCATTTGCTAGCTGAGTGATTACAGGAAGTCCTCCTTTCACCTCTGTCTTGCCTCAGTTTCCTCAACTGTAAAATGCATAGGTGTAGTAGTACCTACCTCCCACGGTTATTTCCAGGATCAAATGAGATAATACTTTTCAAGCTCTTAGCACATAACATAGTAGGCACTTAATAAATTCTTGTCTCCCTCCTTCCTTCATTGTCATTCTCCCCAAATTGAAGCTTCAGCTCTTAGATTGCTAACATTTTGTCCAGGCCTTTCCTACTTGTAGTAGAGCTTGATCTGCAAATTTCTCAGGCTCCTTGATGGAATTCCTGACCTGGACTAGACCAAGTCCTAAAACACAATCACTGGTTTCCTGAAGAGGAAAACAAAAGTCACCAAATACCAAATCTGTACTTTGGTAAAGAATGATGCTGCAAAAAAAAAAATTCCAATTTCTTAATATCAACCAGGTATCCTCTAATAAAACATAAGGAAACTTGAGGTGTAGGGAGGAACAGAAGACTGCAAAGACACTTTTTTTTTGTTTCCACTCTTTTCACAGTTATGGAATGCTAAAGTAGGTAGGAGATGCAGCTGTCAGAAATGAGTAAGCAATTGATGGTGGTAGGTATCTGAGCATAGTGGAAACTGGAAGAGATGTCAGTGTTGGAATGCTGAAACAAGTTGAGGTATTAGGAGAACCATAGACACAGAACAAGTCAAGAAGACTAGTGAAACTAAGTGAATCTGTGGATCTAAGAAGCCAGAAGGCAGCCACAGCATATTCCCTTCTAACATTAAAATGTCAGAAAATGGAATAAAGTAGCCATGAGAATCTTTGGAAAATTTTTGTATCTCAAGATTGCATTCCTCGACTATCCTGACAAATACTGTAAAACTTTGACCGACTCCAGTACTTAGGGAAAGAATAGACTGTTTTGATTAATGGATTTTATGATTGATTATATAATGTATTCATATAATTTTCTGTATTTTATATTAACATAAATTTATTATTTGATGATTCAGTGTGTTGCAGTAGTTTAAAGTTATCCTTTTGAACATGTTCTTGTTGTATAGTACTATAAAGATAAGGTATGGGAGATTGGGAAGAACCCAAGACTACCAAGGAAATTGCTTTTCCAACAAATCCCTGATATAAGCTTATTTTGTTGTGATTTGCTTCTTTCCCCCAAGCATTTCTCCCCAGTTGAAGGGAAGAGTTAACTGAATTCTGAATTAATTGAATAGTTCAGTTATTTGGGTTCTGATTAAGTGGATACTCAGTTTTCATTATTTAAGTTTATTTAAAGGCACCAAAATAAGAGTGTTCTGTTTGCAGTTTATATTACTTAATATTTATTATAATAAACACTTCTAGAGCCACAAAATAATTCCTTAGAAATTGTTTTGCAGTTTGCCTATATGCAAAAAAAAGAAAATTTCAGCCTTGCATATTGGGAAAAAATGTCAGAAGAGTCAGACAAAGATGAGCAGCTCAAAGACCAAACAACCAGTGATGAAGATGAGTTGGTATGTTTTATGCTAAAGTAAAGCTCCCTAACGTAGCCTGCAAATTCTAAACTTATTTTGTTTTTATGAGTACCCTAGTATTCTTTATATGAAGCAGTGTATGCCATAAATACTAAAGTAATTTAATATTGAAATTGTTAAAGAATTCCATATGTTGAAAATGCTACATTTCAGCCACATGGAATTTGCCCTATCTAAAAAAACAAACAAACCATATTTAAATAAATCTATGATCTCACCAATGTGGATTTTCCCTCCAGTAAAGTAGGTCTCAACTCATCTATGCCTAACTATTCTGTGTTCTTAAACTCTTGACTATCTCTTCCCAAAAGTTCACCACAGCCCCCCACCCCAATAATCTACTAGTGGCCTGAATTAATGATATTATTTTGATGCAGTACTTTATCTAACAAATTCTAGTTCTTCATTAAGTTGTGGATATGAAATTAGGATTCATATTTAAAAATAATTCATATCCATTTAATTTTACACATCAAGTTTTCATCTTACATATCATCATAATAGGTTTACTGTGCCTTTGAGGTCACAGAGGACAAGGACTTAAATGGGGAAGTAAAGAAACAAAAACATGGCTTTCTTTTTTAGTTATTTTAAACAGATAAATGCATCTGTTTTGCATTTCTAAGTGATTTACTCCATTAAATTAGAAATGATCATGTAAATTATGATTCTAAAGTAAACATGAAAAAAATGTAAAATCTTTGTTTCCTTTTGCTACTATCATTCTAATTCATAATTTTAACCTTGTAATATATTTTGCCATGATCCCACCGACTTATTTAAACTTTAGTCTGTGGGTAGCATATTCAGCTGCACTGCAGCCTCAACTAGTTCTTTGATTTCCACCTAGCTACTACTACAGTAGGATTGGTGATACTTTTAGGCTTTTGGATTTATGTTTTAAAATAAATCTCTTGTTTTAGGATAATGATACCTTTATGAAATATGTAAGCGAAGATCTCCATCGGCGTGCACTGTTTACAGGTTTGAGCTCACAAATTCACTCTTGATTCTCTTTATGATGACATTCTAAATTGAATGGAAAGCAGGAAGTTCTAGAGAAGTCATAGCAATAGAGCATGTGGGGAGAATAAAATGCAAAATGGGTGGGAACAGAAAGAGAAATTTGAGGTTCTTCTCATTTATGACCTTATTACCATGGTGTAGTGGAAAGAATACTGGATTCAGAGTCAGTTAGAGGATCGGTGTTCAAACCTTGGCTCTATTTCTTTAGAATTAGGTCTGTGTGACTTTGGGCAAGTCAAACATCTCTGGCATTAGTTACTTTGTTTAAAATGAAATTGTAATAGATAATGTCTGAGGAACCTTCTAGCTCGAAATCCTCCAATTCTATTACTACGATAAATAAGAATATTTTAGCGTACTAGTGTAACTTGTTTTAAGTAAACTTTGACATATGGAAATCTAAATTAAAAATAAAGTAAGGATTGATTACTTTCTTTTTTAAATACTATTCCTATATTGGTAGTTTGATTTAATTTACAAGTTACCAGCTACACATATCTTTATGGAAGTGCATGATAGTAGTAGTTGACATTTATGTAGGTTTTCTGATGCAATGCTGCTTATAATCCTCTGGTTTTGTCTATAATGTTTAGTAAATTGTCGTGTCCACTTGGCAGAAACATTAAATTTTGCTGGCTGAAGCTATTTCTAGACTCTTTTGACTAATGACGGGTGCCTGCTGTAGTAATTATTTAATATTCTAAAGTTTCCTAAGAAATAAAGAATGCCCCTAAAAGTCTTGGTACAATTTTAAGCTATTAAAACTTTAATACACTAATAATCAGAGAAAAAGTAAATGTCTTTACTTTTATCCATATCCCATTTTTCAGTGTCAATAGATTTTTTTTTTTCAAAATAGATCAGGGAACTACTATGGTCTGCTGTTGTAATCTTTATCTTTTAATTTAGTGTTGACTTGACCTTTGTTCTAATCAATGATCTCATTATACACATGATTCTGAAATGACTCCCACCCACATTAGTAACCAATCTTTTAAGATATTCTTGCCACATTCAATGCCTTTCATTTATCTTCTTTAAGAGAATATATTCAGGCATGAGACTTCTAAATAATTTACAAGCCTTTGGCCTTTTTCATTTAATAATCTCAGATGATGTTTTGAAGCACATTTTTTCCACCATCTTCTCCCGTCCTCACCTTTCCTTTGAAGTCACTCAATATTAAGGTGTCTGTTGACTTGATTTGCAAGACTTTATCAAATTCAGTGTCAGTGTCTAAACCAGATGTTGGTGCTTTGTGGAGGTCTGTCTGTCAACCTTTATGCGCACTCAAGGTAAAAGGAGCAAGTATTGTGAAAAATGTTCATGACATCATAGATCTGTAATTAGAAGGTACCTCCGTCCATTCTGAGGTTCTGGACCAGTCAACATCTTCATTTTGCAGATGAGGAAAATGAGGCCCAGGGAGATTAAATGACTTTCCAAGGTCACACAGGTAGTAAACATCAGACCTAGAATTTGAACTCTGGTCCTCTTGAGTACACAATCAGTGATCTTTCACATAGTTATGTCTCCTTTTCTTTGAGAGCTCTATTAAACCAACACTGCCAAGATGTTCACTTCTCCAAGAGAATCTATGAAATTTCTTTGTGTCTTCTGGTTTTGTTTTTGAAAATGTCAGTGGGGCATATTTCAGTTTCTCCAATAGTGTATCAATTTAGTCATTGGCTAAAGATCTCATAGTAAGAGTACAACAGTTAGAATTAATGTCCCTAAATTTTCTGAAACTTCTAATCCATTCCACATTTGCATCTCTTATATGGCATCATGATTATAGAATTAATCACCTAGTAGCCAACCTATTGACTATCCCCTCTGTACCTACCTGAGCGGGTCCTTAGATAGCAGATGCAGTCTGTTATGAGGACCACAAATGAAGTCTTTCCATCCTTATAGAACCTACTAGAGCCTGCACTCTGGTGGCAAAACCATTGAAAAGCTTTGGTTACCTCCATACCACAATTAAGATTTTTAGTGGAGGGGAAAAGTGAAGCTACAGAAAGATTGGCCCAAAAGCCAACTAAGTCAGATCATCCTATGAATATTTATGTTATGTAAAATGGAACAGTTACCAGCATTTTCATAGTGATCTATTTTAATCACCATTGAAGAGTGGGGTCACCATATTTAAACTGCAATCTTAACATATCCAATATGAAGTGTGTGAAATAGAAGTACTTTAAGAAAATTAAGTTGGGAAGAGCTGTTGGATATCTCTAAATACAAATGAAATATGCATTGGAGATGACAAAATTTAAAGGCACGTAGGGATCAAGTATCAAAGTATCTCAAAGAAGGGAAGATTATGTTATTATGATGGTGTAGGCAAGAGGCAGTGAGCTTCTGAGCCAAAGTGGTGGCTATTGAGTGGAAAAGAGAAATGCAAGAGCTGTTGCAGAGGTAGAGGTAACAAAATTCGGGAACTGATTAGATATGAGGGATGAAAGAGGGGATGAATCCAGGATGACTCCAAGGTTACATATTTAGATGGCCTCGGCAGAAATGGCAGCCTGTAGAACATATATGTAGGTATTAGGGATACGTGATTAGTTACATTTTAGACGTTCTAAGACAGAGAATTTGTTGCAAAGTCCAGGTGGGGATATCCAAGAGGTAATTGGAGGTATCTGGAGTTGAGAAGAAAAGAAGATCAGGGCTGTATGTCAAGATTTAGAAGTCATTGTGTAAAGTTAATTAAAGCCATGGGAACTAATGAGTTCCCAATTACCTCTAGATTCTGACAGTAACTATTTGTAGCAGTGTGGCCATCACCTATGGGACCTACCCACCCCACCCCCAACCCCCACCATCTGCCAACATGTGAGTGTAGGTTGAGGTGATCGAACCAAGCAAGAAATAGAAAAGAGAAGGGAAATCTCTGGCCCATGTTATAAATCTCCCTATGCATCTTTGAATTCTTCATATTCATCATTTCTTAATAGTGTAATAATATCACATTAAATTAACTTACCATAATTTATTTAACCATTCCATAGACAATGGGCACCCACATTCCAATTCTCTTCCGTCACAAAAAGTGTTACTATATTTTTGTGTATGTGGAACTTTTCTGTCTTTGACTTTCTTGGTATATATGACTATCAGTAAACTCTATGAATTAAAGGGCATGGATATTTTAAACACACTTTAAGCATAATTCCAAATTGCTTTCTAGAATTGTTAGACCAATGTGCAGCTCTACCAACTGAATATCTGTCTTAGGCTACTAGATGGCATAATGGATAGAGGGCCAGGCTGATGTGAGGAAGATTCATCATCCTAAATTTAAATCTGGCCTCAGATACTTGCTAGCTATGTGATCCTGGGCAAGTCACTTAACCCTGTTTGCCAGTCTCCTCATCAGTAAAATGAGCTGGACAAGGAAATGGCAACCCACGCCAATGCCCTTGCCAGGAAAACTCCAAACAGGGTCGCGACGAGTTGGACATGACTGAAACGACTCAACAACGACAACAACTTTAAAGACAGGATCCCCGTGCCTTTGCAAACAGAGACGGGAGGGAAGTCCCGGAGAGGCAGAAGAAACGAAGAACTTTATGGAAGTGGAGAGTTAATCTTAGCGAGGGAGGACACCTATCTTTTATAACCAGGAAGAAGAATGGTAGAAATCAGAGTAGAGAAAGAAATATTTAGGCATCAAGAAAGGGCTGATGGCTTTGATCTCAAGGAGGGTTTGAAGCAAAAGGTGTGAGCAATATCAGGAACTTGAGGATAATAAAAGAGGTCTGGAAAAGCTATTTTGGGAGTGTGCTAGAGATGAAAAGAATGACCAAGTAGGAGCAAAATCAAACAGTATATATTAAATTAGATAATGTTAATGTGTAGTGTGGGTAACCTGGAGGCAGTGTGGCATAGGAGGAAATAGCCTTGGATTTGGAGTCAGAGGACCTGGGTTCCAATCTCAATTCTTCCACTTATTAACTGTGTGACCTTAGACAAGTCATGTAACTTTAACTTCTCTGGGCCTCAGTTTCCTCATATGTAAAATTAAGGGGTGAGACTAGGTGACCTATCCAGTTCCTTCTAATAAATCAACACAGTTATTTTATTCTCTAGCAACACTCAGAAGTTCTCTTCCAGGAATAGAGAAAGTAGTTCATGGGAGTGGTTCCTGGTTTAGGATTAGCACACCTGAAAATTAAGGGGTTGAGATAATCTAATATAGGTTAAGGTTTCATTGACATCACTGATCCTGCAGTAAAGGGAGTCAAGTTAATAAATGGAGTTAATGAATTGAGAGATGTTAAGAGACTGGAGAGCTAGGATGGGGGGCTAGAAGGGAGGTTAAGAAGTAGAAGGCAACATGAAAGTATCCAAAATAGAGAAATTGAGTTTGATATTTCAGAATTCCAGGGTATGACCACCTTTGGTTTGTGGTTGATGCAGAGAAGAGAAGACTGTGAATGTGATTCATACTCTTCATTCAATGCGGCATTGATTAGGTTGCATCAGCACCTTAACTGCATTGGGTTTTTGGGAGTATTACTCCTTTAAAGGTGCCCAGCCTCCAGCCAAAAGTACAACTTTTCAGTTGTTTGCATTTTAAGGTTTCCGTTAACTAGATGTGGAGCCACAGTTGTACAAAATACCTACAGTTTGCCTTATCTTTCTTTAATAATAGCCAAAATTTATATAGCACTTCAAGGTCTGCAAAATGCTTTACTTAGCATTAGTATATTTCTGAGGCAGTTATACAAGGCTTTATGGGACCTTGCTGGGCCAAAGACACATTAAAAGACTGGTAAGAATTGGGGGAAAGGAAAGAAAAGAACTTTTCCCCTGAACTTGTTTTTTGTGCTTGTTCAAATTTATTTGCATGGGGGATATAAAGCATTTTTGGGACCTTTGATAAGACTGCAGGTGGGTCAGACTTACACAAATCTGTAGGGTTCCTTTAATAGAGTCCTCCCAAATTTAGATGTGGGCACATGATTCCTATGAGGAAATAATGCAATGTCACATGAATTTTCTGATCCCAAGTCAGAGTGAAGCTTTGAAAGAGATGTTTCCTTTGGTGACTAGGAAATACAAGTTTGAACAAAAAAAGAGAGATTTAAACCTGAGGGCACTAGTTAGGTGTAGTAACTCTATGTTATGAAGAGTGTGGTGCCTATGGTGAAGAATTGTCTTCTGGAGAGGAAACATCCATTCTAGTCTGCATTGGTTCTGAGTTACAGACAAGACCTGTTGCAGGAGAAAAGCTGCTACGGGATTTTTCTTTTCCAAATGATAATGTATCTGGACCTTGCTTTTCTAAAAGAAATGTAAGAAAAGGCCTCTGTGATTTTAGTAAAAGAGCAATGGCAGAGTCCATTCTTCTTAAGATGAGAAAGTAGCTCCTCAAATGAAGACCATGCCTGATGCCAGAAGCTGGCAGCAGAAAGAAGCTCTACAAAGAGGTGCCCAAAGGAGTCACATCTGCCAATGTCCAACACGGTGATGTCAACAGAGACCATTATTACTGGAGACGGCACATCCAGCGGAGAGGAAATCAACAAGCATTTCTTAAGTACCTACTACAAGCTAGGGTATCCAAAGAGCAAAATGAAATGATCCCTGCCTTCAAGAGCTCATTCTGCTAAGGGGAACAACATATGCGAATATAAACATATGCAAAATATAGACAAAGAAAAAGCAAGGTGATTTGGGGGCAAGGAGAGGCATTCACACAAGATGAGCAAGGAGTATGCATGGCAAGAAAAGTGCCATCACCTCACCTAAAGATATATTCCTGAAAAGTTGTATGTGGATAGAATTTTAGAATTAAAATTATATTTAAAATGAAATGAGATATTTACTATATATAGGGACTCCATGGTGAATTTTTTAATTACAAAAAACCCCTCACATCTTTTTTAAGAAAATGAATTTTAAATTCATTACAGTATTACAAAGAACAATTCTATGTAACAGCCGTTACCATTTGTTAATAGAGAGGTTCATCACCAGAAGGGTAGCCACTAAGTGAAGAATTTTTTAGCCATAGCAACTCATCAAGCTGTTTGCTAAGTTGTGGAGGAGTTTTGATCTGCATTAGTGCAAGGACTACTCACACTGGTGAAATGACAGGCCTTTTAAAGAAGTATATGGTATATAGAAATAATGAGGAAATCACTTAAATTCTTTCTTTGCAAGGAATAAAACCCATTCAAGTTGGTTTCTGTTCATATAATGAACATAATAAAACAGATTTTTTTATTGTGTGCTGTTTGTAGTATGAGAAAAAAGGAGAAGCAATCTATGGTTAAGCTCTTTAAACTTCTGTTACGTTATCAAATGGCATTTACATCCTTCTCATTTCTCTTTGATTCAAATATCCTAATTATATAACAAAACCAATTCAAAATTTGAAGCTGCAGTAAAAACAAAAGAACACACAAAAAAAGATCCAGGCGGCTGTGAGTAAGAAAAAGGAAGAGTTGTGTACCTGATTACTTTTCACTTTCGAATTCACTGTGGAGAAGCAGGTTATCAGTTCATTTTTCATTTTTGTAGTAATAAGAAGTTCACATTCATATAAGCATTAAAGTTTGCAAGTAGTTTATGTAAAATATTTCCTTAGTCTTAATATAATCCTGCAAAAAAAAGTGTAAACCTCCCCCTCTCCCTACCCTGTCCCTCTCCTGGCCCCCATTTTTCAAATGAGGAAACAGGCTAACAGAGGTTACATGACTTGCCCACGGTCTCCTCGATAATAAGGGTATGTCTAAAGCAGTATTAAATCGAGGTCTTTTTGACTCTGAGTCCAAAACACTACCCGTAACACTTTGCTGACTCTTGGATCATCCAGAATAAGAATATCATTTCTAGCAATGTATTTATTTTGCCATAATTCCATTACACCATAACTGGGATGCCTCATAGAGTTGGTAATAAAATAATTTTTTTCTATATTAAGTTGGCTTAAAATTAGGTACATCTATTTACCAAAAAAGTAATATTTGGTAAATAAAAGGTGTTATGCAAATGCCAAGTAATTGTTAATAATTTTGGTAGAGGAAAAACTTCGTTTAATGAATTCAAATGATGTTGAAGAAACAAAGGAAACTTCAAACATGAACATTTTTGTGATTTTGTCTTTGTCCCCAATCAGCCCTTTCCTTGCGTTTGCCTTCCAACAGATGCTACTGGTGACCAGTCTTTACCTCGGACTACACAGATTTTGTTGGAATATCAGCTAGGGAGATGGGTACCACGTCTTCGTGAGCCCCGAGACCTATATGGTATCTCTTCATCTGGTCCACTGAGTCAAACAAGATGGCCATGCCACTGTGAAGTAGTTGAAGAGAAAATCCGGCACATTGGTATGTCCTTATCAGCTGCATTTAGGATATAAAGCATAGCAAACTTACTTTACCAGTCTGAGGAGATCCCTGACCAGAAAAAGGATTGGGGAGCTTCAGCCACCTCTGGATATGGGACTTAAAATGTGTAAGACATTTGGTAATCTTTCATATTTGCAACCATGAGTGCTGTGCTCTATTATTAACCAGACCAATACTCCACTCCATAACCTCACACCCCTCCCCCCTCCCCCTCCACACTCAGATAGAGACTCAGCCATAGTTTTTGGGCACTACATAGTTCCATTCTGATTCAACCAACATCCAATAAATTGGACTCTGAGACAGGTGCAGGGGTGTGATAGGAACTTTGAGAGCTTTGACTAACAATCAAGAACTTACTTAGCCTCTCTACTTAAAAGCTTTTTCTTTTTACATTTTCCCCCCTTATTCTCTTTGTTATTCTCTTGACCTTAATGTTTGTTCCCAAGACAAATGCCTTTCTTGCCAGCCCAGTCAATAATACTATAGAACTTTGGAAAGTGGTAATTCAATCAATCACAACTTTCCCTCTTTTTACCATATATAAAGGCTAAATCTGTCCAATGCTAATACATAAAGGGTGAGTCTTACACTTTATGAATGACAACTGATTTTACTGGTGCTCGTAGTTACTTAGCTAATGAAAGAGGTTCATACCAAAAGAAAAACATTTGAACTTATTACAGTAATTACTTTCATGCAAATGGATACTTCTAATGGGCTTTCAAATATTTCTTAATTGGGTTGAATATCTTGTACTCTTGCTTCATATACAACTCAATTTAACAAACTATTTTTACATAATAATTTTGTTGTATATTAAGGAATAGAAAGTCATGCATAGTAGATTTGCAGTTTCATGTACAACCTTCTTTTTTGTTGTGCTATATTATGGACATGCTTGTTTTGTTCCATAAATTAAAAGTAAAACTAAAAATTTTGATATATTTCATTTCCCCCCAATTACATGTTAAAACAATTTTTAATAAAGTTTTGACTTCCAAATTCTATCTCTCCTTTCCCCCTCCTTGAGCTGGTTATACATATGCAATCATGTAAAACATTTCCATATTAGTTATTTTGGTACAAGAAGACTCAAATAAAAGAAAAAGAATGAAAGAAAGAAAGTGAAAAATAGAGTCCTTCAGTCTATATTCAAACTATCAGTTCTTTCTTTGGAGGCAGATAGTATACTTCATCATTAATCTTTTTGGATTGTCTTAGATCATTGTATTTCTGAGAATAGTTAAGTCATTCACGTTTCTTTATTGAACAGTATTGCAGTTACTGTGTACAGTGTTCTGGTTCTGTTCACTTCACTTTGCATTAGTTCATGTAAAATCCAGGTTTTTCTGAAATCATCCTTACTTGTCATTTCTTATAGTACAATAATATTCTGTCATAATCATATAACACAGGTTGTTTAGCCATTTGCCATATAAAAATTTTTGTACAAATAGGTCCTTTGCCGCCCCCTTCCTTTTTCACATCTTTGGGATATAGACCTAGAAGTGCTATTTCTAGATCAATGGGTATGCACAGTTTTGTAGCCCTTTGGACAGAGTTCCAAATTACTCTCCAGAATGGTTGGATCAGTTTACAGCTCCACCAACAGTGCATTAGTGTCCCAATTTTCCAACATCCATCATTTTCCTTTTTTGTCATATTAGCCAATCTGATAAGTGTGAGATGGTATCTCAAGAGTTGTTTTAATTTGCATTTCTCTAATCAGTGATTTAGAGCATTTTTCAATATGACTTTGATTTTTTTTTATCTTAAAAACTGCCTGTTCATATCCTTTGGTCATTTATCAATTGGGGAATGACTTATATTTTTATAAATTTGACTCAATGAGGACTTTATCAGAAGTACTTGTTAAAAAAATTTCCCCATTTTCTGCATTCCTTTTAATTTTGGTTGCATTGGTTTTGTTTATGCAAAAACTTTTTAATTTTATATAATAAAAATTATCTGTTTTACATTTTGTAATGCTCTGTATTTTTTGGTCTAAATCCTTCTGTTATCCATAGAGCTGACAAATAAACTATTCCACACTCTCCTAATTTGTTTATGGTATCATCCTTTATGTGTAAATCATGCACCCATTTTGACTTTATCTTGGCATATGGTGTGAGATGTTGGTCTATACCTAGTTTCTGTCTCCCTGGAGGTAATAGGCAGCCACTGGAATTTATTGAGTAAGGGAGTGGGGGAAGGGAGGTATGTTTACATGATCAGACCTGCATTTTAGGAAAATCATTTTAGTGGTTATAGACTTAATCATCACAAAAATATTTAAATGCACAAAGAAGAATAAAAAGTACAATTACATAAGTAATCATAAATGTCTTTAAATTTTATTATAAAAACAGAATATTGTTTAAATATTAAATTAATAAAACTAAATTTAAATGTTAAATTAATAAATTAATTTAAATATTAAATTTTAAAATATGTTTACAGAATTGTTCTTTACATGTATCTTTTTATTGTTTTTAAATTTAATTATTTTGTTCTGAACTTAAATTTTGTTCCAAACATCAAATAAAACAAACATTTCTATATACAAATTAGAACATAAAGACTGTCCATAAAACAGTGAATTTCTATTACATATAGTTTGCTTTTTCATTTAAGTATAAAATAAATTCAAATGTAACTTTCAAACCTGTCCTGCTTATCTGTGTTTCTTTCTAGACTTCAATCAGTTATTTTCTCTGCATTTAGATAATTAAATGACTATTTCTTTTTCTTTTTTTTATCTTATCAGTATTCTGCCCTCTTCCCCCAACTACTGCCCTACAATTGAAGAAAAAAGAAAAATAAAACAGTTGTAATAAATATGGATAGTCAAGCGAAACAAATTCCCACATTGGCTGTGTACAAATATGTGTGCCTGATTCTGTATCTTGAGTCCACCACCTCTCTGTCAGGAGGTAAATAGAATGTTCCATCATTGGTCATCTGGAATTGTGACTGGCATTTTATTTTTCAGAATTCTTAATTCTTTCGAAGTTGCTTTTCTTTACAAACATTCTTATTGTACAAGTTGTTCTCTGAGTTCTACTCACTTTAATAAGCATCAGTTCATACAAGTCTTCCCATATTTCTCTGAAACCACCAAACCACAATGATATTTCATTATATTCATATACCGTAATTTGTTCATCATTCCTCAATTGATAAGCATTGTTTTACTTAGCTTCCTAAAAGAGCTATTGTAAATATTTTGTACATATGGATCCTATTCCTCTTTCTTTGATCTTTTTGGTGTATTATTCTAGTAGTAGTTATCAGTGGGTCAAAAGACATGAGCAATTTAGTAACTTTAGGAATGTTACTTTACGTTACTTTTCAGAATGGTAAGATTAGTTAATAGCTGCACCAACAGTGCATTAATTAGTGTGCCTGTTTTCCCCTGTCCCCTTTGTCATTTTCTTTTTTTTTTTTCATTTTTGCCTATCTGATGGATATGAGATAGCACCTCAGAGTTTTTAAATGTTTATTTCTCTATTAGTAATTTGGGGCATTTTTCATATGGGAGCTGCTAGCTTGGATTTATTCCTTTAAGGACGACATGTTCATATCCTTTAACTATTTCGTTATTGGAGAATGTCTTTTGTTTTTATATACAAGATGTCCCAAAAGTCTTAGTACAGTTTTAAGCTTCTGGAGCTTAAAACTCAGTATTTGAATATATTTCTTGTGTATCTTATATGTTGGACTTTTATCAGAGAAATCTGCTACAAAGATTTTTTTCCTAGGTAGCTCTTTCCCTTTTAATTTCAACTGCATTGGTTTTATTTGGCAAAACCTTTTAAAAATTTATGTACTCAACATTGACCATTTTACCTTCTGTGATCTTTCCTCTTCCTTATTTGGTCATGAATTCTTCTCTGTCCACAAGTTTAAAAGATATTTCTTTCTTTTCTTCTCTAACTGGTTTACAATATGACTTTTTTATATCTAAGTCATATCTATTGGACTGTGTCTTGCATGTAATGTGAAGTGCTGTTCTAAGCCTAATTTCTGCCAGACTACTTTTGCAGTTTTTACAGCAGTTTCTCCCTGTCCCCTTCTGCCCTCCTCCCCCTTCCAAATATTGAGTCCTCAGTCCCATAGCTGGGATCCTTGGGTTTATTGAACATTACATTACGGCATTTGTTAACTTCTGTGTTGTGTACCTAATCTGTTCTACTAGTTGACTTTTCTGTTTTTAAAGTATCAAATAGTTTTGATGATTTCTGCTTTGTAGTATAGTCTGATATCTAGTGTTTGATATGCAGCGCTTAACACAGTGCCTGGCACAAAGTACTGTTTATTGTTTAATTGATTTGTTGTTGTTATTAAGCTCCCTTATTAGAAAGGGGAAGGACATTGTGCAAGAAGACCAATTAGGAGGTTGTAGTTGTGGTCCAGTCGAGAAGTGAAGAGGCCTGAATTAGGGTGGTTGAAATGTGAATAGAGACAAGATGGCTGCAAGAAATATAAAATTACTTTGCATTTATTTTGTTTAAATTTTGTATTGATATTTGTATGAATGCTGTTTTCCCCAGTACAATGCAAGTTTCATGACAGTTTTGTTGTTAAGATCCTTCCATTTCTCACGAGCTGACTCACAGCTATAGGCTTCTACTTAACTTATCTCTAACTTCTTTGAAGTCTAAAGTACAGATCATGCTGTGCTAGTGTTCACTTTCTTATCTATCATTTATTCTTAAGACATCAAGGTTACTATCTTCCTCTGACTCAATGCCATTGATCCTTCCACTGCTTCTCTTATCAGGTCTAAATAGCAGAACTTCTTATCATTTCTTCTACCTTCTGAAGTACATATGAAATTTCCAGCAAAGTATTTCAAGAATTTATCAGCTACTCTGCTTTTAGCAGAAGGAAACCTCCAGCAGATATCAAAATAGTTGAAGTTCCCTTTCACAGCTATGGCCTATGTCCTGTCTGTTTGTGATCTGGCCCTTTTAGCCAAATAGAACAAATCTAATTTCTCTGCCATGTGACCATGATGCAGATATTTGAAGATTCTCTTCCTCCAAAATTATTCTCTTCTCCAGGTCAAGTATACCCAGTTCCCTCAACCCGTCCTCTTCTGACTCCTTTTCAAGTCTCCTCAGCATCCTGATTCCTTTCCCCTGGGTTTGCTTTAATTTGTCAGTGTATCTTCTAAAATGTAGCTCCCTGAACAGAATAAGTATTTCAGATTTAGTCTAATCAGAGCAAAAAATATCAGTGCTCTTACCTCCTTCACGAAGGCCTATTTGCATAAGCCTAAAGTCACATCACCCCACCCCATCACACCCCTCTTACCTTACTGAAGCATAAAGGAGTTTTGATCTGTACTGGGTGAGAGAAAATCCAAATGATGAAATTATAGGTCCTTGAAGTACTGAATTAAGGTCAGATGTGATACTTTGGCTGTCATACGTTCAGCTGACTCACAGTGAGCTTGCAGTCCAATAAAACTCATAGGTTTTTTTCCCACGTGGACTTTGCTTTGATGTCTTCCCCACATACACATACCATCTTTTAATTTTATAACTTATTTTTAAACTCAATATCCAAACTTAAATCTTTAATCATCTAGTTAAACTCTAGAAATATATCTTCTTTTGCAGATTGTGCTCCTTCCTACCCTGAGCCATTGTATGTCTCAGCAGGTGATGAATTGGAACCCCATTATCCAGACTCTACTCAAGGCACTGTGGTTTATCTTGGTAATGATGGTAGGTATGTACTTAGAAGTATATTGTGCAGTAACTTGGATAGCTGAGTTAGTCTCATCTTTTGTTTTGCTATTCATACCTGCAATTACAAAAATTAATTACTAGGCTTGCCCCCAGTATGGGACTTAGTTATATAGTAGAAATATGCCTTACGTTATGCAAAAATCATTCATAGAGTCATAAACTTGTAGCATTAGTCCTGGCCTTGGAGATTTTCAAGTCCAATGCCTTCTTTTTACAAATGAGGAAAATGAGGCCTAGAAAGATTAGTTATATAACTTTATAGCACTTGAAGAAATAGGACTATTATAATACTTAGAAATTATCTAAAACAAATTTTGTTTTCCTATAAGCCTACATAAACTTACAGAAATCAGCTCAATTAAGTTTGATTTGCTACCACTGTAGCCCATACTGCTAGTGTCTGTTTTCCTTCTACCTATTTTTTCAGCTGTTTTTCATTGGTTCTCACAATCATCAGATGTTTTTCTTGGGCTGCCACCCTTTGAATAGAATTAATACAGTAACTTATAAATAATTTCTGTGGTGTTTCTAGAATCATAAAATTAGAGTTGGAGTAAACCTTAGAGGTCATCCAGCCTGACCCCTGTGCAAAGCATGAATCCTGTCTACAACATTCCCAATAAGTAGTCTTTCAACCTTTTGTCAGAGTTTGCCAGTGAAGGGAGCTCACGACTATCTAAGGTAATCTGTTCCATTTTTAAAACTCTACTAATTATTAGAAAACTTTTCTTTGTATTAAGCTGAAGTCTCTCTCCCTGTTATTTATAGCCATTGGTCATACTTCTGACATTTGAGGCCAAGTAGGGTATGTCTAATCACATTTTCATATATTTGAAGATATTTATCTGCATTATATATGGAAATATTATTATAAGGACATTTATCAATCATGTTTTCATTTTTGAACTCAGATTTTCTGACTAAAAGTCATGAAATCTTGACAGCCTATATCACAGGCTCTCATGTTCTTTAAACATGGAAATATGGAGATTGTGAACTGTTTAACTATTAGAGCTTTGACAGTTTATAATACTCTTATAATAGATACCTTCCAAGAAGGTTTACTAATGATCTTTTTTTAGCTATAGTACAAATTAATTTTATTCAAAGTGCAGAAAACTCAAAGGAGAGTAACTGTTGAATAGAGAAGTGGGTGAAGAATAACTGATAGTTAAGATGGGAATAATGGAGGCACTGGCTAGCAATAGAATCTAATTGAGACTAATTCATTGGAACAAAGCAAGGGAAGAGAAGCTCTCAAATGGTGGTAGGAAGATCTTTTGTAGGATGAAATTCCTATAGTGCAAAAAGAATCACAGATATAAACTATCCCATTCTTAAATACCTACCTCTTATATTAGGATATCATAAACAGAACTTAACTGTGTTTAGATTCTATAATATGGGTCATTACATTGAGGATCTGGAACCTCAAATGCAAATGCTAAAAGATCACTCAGTAAATTAATGGCAGGGCCAGCATTAAGTCTGTCCATCTGTCTTTCTGTCTGTGTATATGTATGTCTCTCTCTCTTTCACTTTCTCATCTATAATTAAAACCATGTCATAAACTTTGGAAAGGTCTCAAATCAAACTTTAAAATTTACAATTTAAGAATAATATCTTTAAGTGGGCCCAAAACTTTTATCAGTTAGCTTCTAGTTAAGAAACTATATTTATATGTGCCTTACAAATAGAAAATAAAATGTATACAAGTGGCAAATGTACAGAATTATACAAATAAACTCTTACACAGTGGAATGGGACATCATAGCCTGTGTATTAACTATGACCAATAGATTTCTATATGGTGAAAAATAATAAAGCCAGTTAATCATTCTTCATTTCACTTCTTAAAAAATAAGATTTTTCCTTTGAATTCAATAAGACTGACAGTAATGATCATTTCCACTAAGTACCTATTCTTTATTATTCAGTCTAGGGTCAAGGTCTCTCCTCTTACATCCTTATAGTTTAATCCCTCCTGACAACAAAAGGACTTTAGGGGTGCTTGGGAAAATTGATTGTCAAAGATTGAATTCTTACCCAAATGAGTTCTAGACCTTTTCCCCCCTCCCTAGTGGCTAGTATATTGTAATATCTGAGAAAATCTTTCCCAAACTGTGTTCTCTAGACCAGAACAAAGCAGTCCAAGGTGTTTAATGGGCAAAAAAGCATAATAGTATACAAGTATGCACATAAGCACACATATGTCTGCCTTAATTTCTAACCACCAAGTGCTACTCTGGCTACATGCAGCCATATCTGAGAGATGTACAGGCTTCGGTATGCTGGAATCTGCTGCCTCCTTGTGGCTCCAATACCTGTTTAAGTTAGAACTGCTGTCAGGTCCCTATGTCTGAATCTATCCAGACTTAGGGACAGAGCTGGCTAGAGGCTAAAGGACTGTGGCTTCTAGTTCCATGAACTTTAGAAGGAAAAGGGATTCTTCTACTTCAGGCTTTTCCAGCATTCCTCCTTTAATATCTAAAATTGGAAGGGGAAGGCAGAGACACAGTCAGGAACTCCAGGTTCCCCAGAGTTCTTATTGTTTGCCTATTTCTGGTGAGTCTGTGCTCTATCAAAACTCCTTTTTTGCTCCTGCCCTCAAGGAGCTCCCATTCTAATAAGGGGAATATTGTGCAAATAACTAAACACAGAAGATATATACAGTGTAAATGGAAAGTAATCTCAGAGGAAAAACACTAGCAATAGATTGGGGTGAGGACCAAGAAAGATCTCCTGCAGAAGGTGGGATTTGAACTGAGTCTTTAGGGAAACTAGAGAAACTTGGCATAGGGGTGAGGAGGAAGAATATTCTAAGCATAAGGAATAACCATTGAACAGCAAGTAGACCATGTCGCTGGGAATGGAGTGTAAAACTGGAAAGGTAAATTGGGACCAGATTATAAAAGGTTTTAAAAGCTAAAGAGAGAATTTTATATTTGATCCTGGGTATAAGAGGGAGTCATTGTTGCTTATTGGGAAGGATGGTAACATGGTCAGACTTGTATTTTATAAAGATCACTTTGGCAGCTGAGTGGAGATTGAAAGGGGACTTGAGGCAGAAAGTCCAACCAGAAGACTTTTGCAGTAATATAAGCAATATGTGATAAGGGCCTTAAATAGGGTAATAGCTGTGTGAATAGAGAAAAGAGCATGTGTATGAGAGATATTGTAAAGGTAGAAATGACAAGATTTGACAGCAGATTGGATATGTGAGATGAGTGAGCTGAGGTATAAAAGTCATATAGTCTTTATTTACCCTAGAAAAAAATTTGTCTTTAGCATAGGGCTTTCTTTTTAAAGTTTCCCAATCCCAGTTAATTTAAGCAAAAGATATTTAACTAATTTTTAATCTTATTTAATATTTCATTTTTTCCAATTACATGTAAAAACAATTTTAACATTCTTTTTTTTCAAATTTTGAATTTTAAATTCTCTCTCTCCCTCCACCATTAAGAAGGCAAACAATTTGACATAGGTTATACATGTGTAGTCATGCAAAACAATTTTCCATGTAAGTCATTCTGTGAAAGAAAATACAGACAAAAAACCCCAAGAAAAATGAAGAAAGTAAAGTATCTTTGATCTGCATTCAAGCTCTACCAGTTCTTTCTGTGGAGATGGACAGCACCTTTCATCATAAGTCCTATCTTGGGTCATTGTAATGTATGCTGAGAATAGCTAAGTTGTTCGTGGCATATTATCATATAATATGACTGTTACATATAATATTATTGTAAATGAGATAATTTACAATGTTCTCCTGTTCTGCTCATTTCACTTTGCATTAGTTCTTGTAAGTCTTTCCATGTTTTTCGGAGAGCATCCTGCTCATCATTTCTTAAAGCACAAAAGCATTACATCAAAATCGTATACAACAATTTGTGTCCCCAATTGATGAACATCTCCTTAATTTCCAGTTCTTTGCCACCACTAAAAGAGCTGCTATAAATATTTTTTACACAAAGATCATTTTCCTTTTTGTTTTTTTATCTTTGGGATACAGACCTAGAAGTGGTATTGCTTGGTAAAAGGGTATGCGTGGCTTTATAGCCCTTTGGCATAGTTCCAAATTGCTCTCCTATTTAACTAGATTTTCAGTGAGTCATTTAATTAGAATTAAATGTTCTTTGGCCATAATAGGAAGTAAGCTTTTTGAGAGCAGGGAGTATTTTTAGTTTTGTCTTTGGATTCCTACCTAGCACAAGGCTTTGCACTTAGTGGGTACTTAGTAGGTGCTTGTTGAATCGAATTACATTGCTTCTTTTAAAAATTACTTTGGAAGTTCAGAAAAGAGGTTCAGAAATTCAAGGGGCTTAGGCAATTCTAGTTACATGCATTGCTCAAAGGAGCACCAGAAGAAATAGCAGGCAATCAGGGCAACTTTGAAAGTTACTCAGATATGTCAAATTCCTGGCCTTCTGTCCTCAAGTGGCAAAACTACCTGGTAAAGAAGCTGATTAAGGGGCAGCTAAGTGGCTCAGTGGTTAGAGCACCGGTTCTGAAGTCAGGAGGACCTGAGTTCAAATCTGGCCTCAGACCACACACTTGACACTTACTAGCTATGTGACCCTGGGCAAGTCACTTAACCCCAATTGCCTAAAAAATTAAATAAAATTAAATAAAATTTTAAAAAAGAAGAAGCTAATTAAACTGTAATTGGAAAAACAAAGTAACAAAAATAATACAATATAGATAATGATAATTTGTGGTTTTCTAAGTCAATATATCCTCTAGGATATGTTTCTATGTGAGTTTGACAACACTGGACTATATTATATACTTAAAAGCAAGTTCTCTATAATAGAGGTTCGCAGTTTTTTATAACATTTTCTTTTAACTATTCTACTTTTTGTTTTGCTCTTTATGTAAAAATGCTAATTTAATTTAGTATTGGGTATTAAAAAAATAAAATTTAGAGTACACTGCTCACTACTAAAATTACTAATGAAATCACCTCAGCAATGTCC